CGGAACAGGCTTTAATTTTTCATGAAGCGTAAATCGTGTTCCGTTATTTCCCCCCCACACCCCAACAAAGCCACATCCTGCTTTCCGATTGGCTTTTCGTTGCCATCAGGATTTTGCCTTCTTCCCCCTCCAAAAAAAAACCCCAACCCTGCTTCAGGCACCTCTCTGCAGCTAAACCCACCAGTATGAGCATCAGCTGTTAAGTGGCAATGCATTATTGTAAAAATGGAGCAGCTACAGCTCCACAAATCCCTGATACAATTGTACCCAAGTTTAGGAAAAAAAAATCCTGTGCAAACCCCTCTATTGCAATCTGCGGAAAGGAGGAGAAGGTGAATTGTCTGAAATATCCAAGCTGGAAAAAAAAAAAAAAGAGATCCAAACAATGAAAATATTTGCCTGGCTGATTTAATGGAGCTGCCAAGTAGATAAGGACACTGTGACCGACAGCAAGGCTGTGGCCCCGCAAACTTCCCAGACCTACTGCCACAAGTGAGGCTTGCCTTGCCTGTCAAGCACACTTTAAGGCTCGTCCTAGACTAAATTGCCACACTCATTTGCAGGGATTTATTTCTGAGTGCGCTGCAAATAAAGCAGCAAGTGGTTGAATCCCCTAGTTTGATGTTTCTGCAACAGGCTGAAGGGATGTGGGTACGTACGCCTGCAGCCCAGGCTCCAGAGGGATTTATGGAAAATCCCAAATATCAAATACATAGACAGTCAAATTCACAACCAGAGAGTGCTAAGACAGAAGGATCCATATACTTCTAGCTCAGGGAGAGAATAGGAAAGCAGTTGTAAAGCCATGTATGAGCCTGCAAGCTGGTGGAGGGCTAACCTGGTAGCTATGAAATAAGCAGGGCTTATCGCACAACGGTTTGGAGAAGACAGATGTGCCCCCCAAATGCACACCAAACTCACTGATGCTCTTCATCCTCTCCGGCACAATTCCCATGAAACAGAGCATCAAAGTTGGATTTTCCACCTGGGGCACAGGAGAGGCAACATCACTGCTACTGTTCTGGAGCCTACCTCTCTCCACCTCAGGCAAAGGGATGGAGGAAAAGGGACGGAGGAAAAGGGACTTCATCTGGGACAAGAATGCAGTACTGACTCCTGAAAAACCACATGCAGCAGGGCACAGACCTAACACTTTACTTGTACATATTTACTCTGACTTCAGAGCAACCCTCAGTCTCTAAAACCCATCCTGATCTTTTCCCCAAAATGCAGAACCCAGGTCCAAAAGCATCCAACTTCACATAAAGACCCACCTTCATGCTGGATCTACTAACATTTGCTGAAATCAGAAGACTTGCCACCAAAACCTAAGCTGGAAGGATGAGAGGCAGAAGAGAATGAAAAAAAAAAAGCCTTTTATCAGCTACTGCAAGGAAGCAATAAAACACCAGGAGAAAGGACCCAAGTGTCAGGACTGAGCAGCATTTTAGTGCCTAGGCATCTGCACTGATTTGGGCTCAGTATTTCATGCAAGAGCAGCCAGTATTAATTAAAAATGAGATAGGCCATACCTTAAACCCTAAATTTCTTCAAGCTATCCTGCTTTATATGTATATCTGTGCACACAGCCCAGTATTTTACGACAATGGTTAATTGTTGGAATTTTATGGGCCATGCTATGTTTTGTTGGCTCAATGTTGAATCGCACACAACGATCTTTTTAAAACAGAATTATAGTAAAGTGCATCCAATTATGCTTATAGCAAGCTGTACATCCATCATATGGAGATTAACAGCTTGACAGGATGATGGCAGAGCTGTCACCACGTCTGTAATTCCACTTACGTTGCCTGCCAGCACCCAGACGCTGGGGTATTAACTCGTCCCCACCCCAGATGGGATTTTTGGATCTTTTATCCTTACACTGAGGTGAGCAGCAACCTCACAGCAGCTCACCAGAAAAGGTCTCCAGCAGGACAGAATCTGGACACCACATTCAGTCAAGAGACCAAATGGTGACGACCAGAACACAGACACAGAGGCTCACAGATATCACAAAGCAGCTATTCATCTGATTTCAAGTCAACTTAGAGGTTCTTCCTGCTGGAGACTGAGAAAATCTATTTTATGCAGCAAGAGCATCTGACACCAGGGAGCAAGTCAACTCTGGCAGCACCAAAGAGCCCTCTTTGCAGAAGATGGCCCATGCTCAGTCTCTCTCCGGTCAGGCAGCAACTGCCCAAGCCCCAGCGAGTGTTGCAATGGGTAGCATGACACAAGAGGGCAATATCGAGTCCTCTGGCACAAGGAAGCCAGCCTTTCAGCTCAAGGAAGGTTTCAACCAGCTTGGAGAAAAGCAAGAAAATGACAGAGACAGAAAGATGTCATTCCCACAGGTGCCTTTCCTCTGTGTTTAAACAGGACTAGAGGACCTTGTAGGATCACGGTTCACTAGCTCCCTTGGGGGTTGGAAATGAGATGTTTGGGGGAATCTTGCATTGCCTGGACAAAACCAGCTTTCCCCTCCTTTGTCAGCTTCTCTTGCTGGAGACAAGCACTGCAAGTGCTCAGCTCCACAGTTTTGTTTCAGGAACGGAAAGCCCGAGCTTAAAACAAAACTCCCAGAGAGTGGCAGCAATGCAAAGGCACTTCTGAAGTGTGTCCCCTGTCAGAGTTGAACAAGGAACAGTACACCCCCAGCCATACCTCGGCCACGGCATAGTTAAACCTCATTTTCTAGAAAGAGCTTAGGAAGCTTGTGAATAGGGCATTTTTTTTTCAGCAGTTCAGCCTACGTTCATTAGAAGAGCTTGAAGGGACTCATCTCAGTCCCTTCCATCCACCTGAGAAGTCAGCTTTCCAGGAGGATCAGCTACGTGCTCTGCAGCCAGAGACTGATTTAGCAAGCATAAAATCCACTCTGGAAGATGCTTCAGTAATACCACCTCTGAGAAAGTGCTGACAGTCTAGGTGACTCAAACACCTGGAGTCTGAGGAATCTTATGCTTGACAGCCAAAGCCCAGGTTCTTTATCTGGACTACTTCCATGTTATCATGGAAAAAAGGAAAAATCAAATCTCACACCTGTCCTTGTTGGAAGTCTGGACTTCTGTTCTTCCTAAAGCCCATTTTTAAAACCTCTGTCCTTGCACTTGAAAGGGGACTCCAGCATATCATAAGTCCATTTTTCCTTAAAAATTCTAAACATCTCAGCTGAAGAAAAAGGATATAGCTAATATCAACACAAACATCAACTCTTGAGGGAAATAAAGCGGCCTTTTTTGTCCTGTTTTGAATGGAAAACACTTATAAAAAGTCCAGGAGAACACACAAAGAAAGTCAGCTTCTTCAGACACAGAAGAATGCACAGCACTTGCATTCCTCATCCCCGAACAATGCACCCCACGGCATTAAGCCCAGACTTGTCATAGCACAGTACAGTTCCCTTTAAATCTTTCAATTAAGATGGTATTTGTAAAATTGCAGGCTTGAAAATTGCTTTACTCTTACGTTGAAGTCACCGCTCTAATTCAAAAAGTAAGACTTCAAGGTAGTCAGGCAGAGGTCTGGGCCATGACTGTTCTGCATCACTGTTTCCAATAATTCCTCAGTATAGAACAACTGGGACTTGCTTGTATTCTGAAAGTAGCTTAAAGCAAACTTAAAGGACTCTCCGATACTGTGGCACCAACAATAATCATCCAGAGCCCTTGCATTTAGTCTCCAAAATAGTGCTCACACAAGCAGGTTCCATGATGCCTCCACCCGCTGGATGAAACCCAGGCTGCTGCCATGTCCCAGGCTGCGTTTTCCTAGGCAGGCAGCATGAAAGCCAGGTTTTGCTAGCCCTCCTCCTTCACCATTTAGCATGTGCATTACAGAGGATTTTAAAATGGTGTGCTAGAGGCAAAAGCAACCTCTAGAGCAATCTAGGGAATTTACTCCTCCATAGCAAGCACGTGAGGTATCTTCACAATTTGTGTTTAACAGGCTGTTTAGAAGTCCCCTCCACTTTGCTCCCCACATGGGGCAAGGTTTCTAAAGGGTGCCAGCTTGGCAGGGAGTACTCAAAGAACACAGTTTTGGGGCAGACATGGCCATCTGCAACATGACTGCACAACCACCATCTTCGTGGCCGCTTGGCCCATACGAGCCAAGCCACCACTCCAAGCTGACACCGTGAGTCCCCGAGGCTGGAAGCCCCAGGGGTGCGTTTTGCTGGGGGGTCCACCCTCAGCACCACAGGCACCACTGCTGGCAAACACTGTCGTCCTCCTCCCCTGCGTGAAGCTGCCTTGAAGCTGACACAGATCCTGCTAAAGCATATTTGGGGGAACTCAGAGCTTGGGCCCTCACCTGGAGCAGGTGGTTTGTATTTATAAACAGAACACAAGACACAATAGCACTTCCCTGTACCAGACACAGCTGCATGCACTGGGGGCCTGATCTCCATCAGAGGTGTCTTAACAGGTTGGTTTTCTCCTCATTTTAGCTACCTGCCTCAATACAGCAGGTGTATGGATTGCTTGCCTCTATCCAGGATGATTAAACCCAAAAGGCACGTGTCCAGCCCCAGAAGTCCCTCTACGCTCTTTCTTCCCTTACCCAGCTCCTGTGGAGAGCAGCAACTGACCCAGGTGATCCACAGCTCCAACTCACCTCCAGCATCTCCATTAAAACATGATCAAAAAACCCCTTCAAAACCTCTGGCAAGCCACAGGGCCATGACTGAATTATCTACAGCAACTACATGCACCAAAAATCATGATTTCTCACTCAAAATGGCTCTCCTTCAGTGACCAGGCCACGGGAGGGAGAGCAACAACAAGGCCCCAGGCCCTAAATGTGAGGACTTTTTTTTTTTAAAAAAAAAAAAAAGTGAGGGGAGGTGAAAAAGGAGTCAGGACACTTCACATGGATGGCTGAACACCTGCTCAGCAGCCAGACTTTTATTAGATTTTCTAAAAATCGCTCCAAAATTCCCCGGCAAGCAACGACCGCGCCTCGCAGCCCCATTTCGGGGTGGGGGTGACACTCACCGGTGGCGTTCGGCGGCACCTCCAAGTTGACATTGACGAAGAAGCGGATGCTGTCCCCTGAGACGATGGAGGAGTTCACGGCATCGAAGAGCTCCTCGCCCCCCGTCTCCTCCTTGGCCTCGCAGCCATCGTCCGTGTCGCACTTGAGGTACCCTGCCAACGAGACGGGGAGGGCGGTTAGCGGGGCCGTGGGCTGCGCCGGGGCCCAGAGCCGCCGGGGCACAGGCATACCCACCGATCATGGCCGCCGAGGGCTGCGGCGAGGCCTCAGCAGCACCCGGGGCCTTGCGAGGGGCTTCTCTTATGCCCTTGTCTGATGAGGGCTGAAAATTATAAGCAATCTGCTCCGGCACATTTCAGGTTGGCCTCAGGTGTGTGTCCAAAGGGCCGCTGCAGAGCCCGGCCAGGCAACACCACGGGCTTCACACGCTGGCCTGCTTGCCAAAGTCAATGGCATGAGCGGTAAATCCAAGGGGATACACTTTGCTCCTCTCAGGTCAAAAAGAAAAACCCCAAATAAAAACCTGGACTGTAAGCAATAAAAACACAAACCAGCGACCCAGAAGCAAGAGCTGCACCACAGCTCCAGCCCATCCTAAAGCCAACGCGCTCATCAGCTCAAGTCACCAGCAGCGCAGCCGTTTCACTTGCGATTCAGCAATTTGAAACTGAGGGGATGAAAAAAAAAAAAAAGGTTTCCAAGGAGACACCCGATACAGATAGACAGACCCGCAGCTCCCCAGGGGCAGAGGAGCAGGTCACAGGAGGTGGCAGCACCGAGAAAGCGAGACAAGTTTCTTAATTACAGCGGACAAGTCCTTAGCCTTTTGCAATGCTTCTAATTAGAGTTTAACCTAGCCTCACTCAACAGCAAGCTGGTTCACTGCAACGTTTTATTATGAAGCAGCTGGAGGACTCTTGTGGCATGCTCGTGTATCATGTTTAATTAGGAGAATTAGGGACATTATAGAATGTCAATTTTTATATTACCAGGATTATTCAGCAGCTTCTACCCATCTTCTGACAAGTCTTTTATGCCTAATTTGAAGCAGGAGGGATATATTTCATTAGCTTGCTTTAGGCACTACAGCAAAATGAAAAGTGTGAGCTTCGAGGCGGACACTTGAATGGAAACTAAAATATTGATGACTTTTTTTAAAGCCTCATATAAGCAAAACGTAGAGGCAGCAGCAGCTGAAAGCAGCGCGCACGGTCTCAGAGGGATCTCGAGCTGACAGCTCACCACCGCAAAACACCAGCCCCGAGCAGGGAGGCCACAAACAGGAACTCGGCGACGCAGGACAGCGGCTGCAGCGCTTCCTGCCACAAGCAACGCGCCGACGGGCGCTCGGCGTCTCCCCAGGAGGGCTCGGAGGGTGCAAGGCCTTCAAGTGACTTCTGAACTGCTTATCCAAGGTGCGGGAAACCCGACTAAAGAATCAGATTAATCCCTCTCCTGATCTCTGCCTCCTCCATCTACCTGTGTGCTGGGAGTGATTCACATTTATTCCTATCACAACTGCTCTGAAGGCTTCAAAAAGCAGCCGAGGCGCTGCTGTCCCCAGCCAGCCAGCAAAATGCACCAAGGGTACCGTCCTCCGCTGCTGGTGAAGCATAGGCAGCTGTTTCCATCTCTGCACAAATATTAACTTGTCCAAAGACAAACAGAAGAAAAGTGAGGTGAGGAAAGTATAGGAAACACCTGAACACAACACCCAAATTATCACAGCTCTGTGGACACCACCGGGTATGAAACATCTGCACAAGGGCTGGCCCAGATTGAGGGGCAGCCAGTGGCCCGGAGGGATGACGACAGCCAGACAGGGTGCCCGCTGGCATCAGAAGTACTACAAAGCCCCACACAAACATCTCAATCCCAAACAAAGTGCTCAATTTGGGAGTTGGTTCCTCCATAATGCATGATGGACATCATAACCTCTCCTCAGCAAAGCAGAGCACCCACCAGTGCTGACAGCCCCACCCCGGTGCCAGGAGAGCTTGGGCAGCCCTGCAAAGCAAAAAATCAGCCTGGGGTAGCCTGAAATCCATGAGATCCTGGCTTTTCCGTCTGTGTCATATCCGTTGTCACAATAATTTGTGCTTCTCCATCCTTCCCCCTCAGTGGGTCAGAGGAGAGGCACGCAGGGGCAAGATGGTTTCAGGACACAGCCCAGAACACGGTGGAGTTTTTCCCCACTATCCTAATGCAATTAAGACACGGATGGGTAAATGGGTAAGAGCATTTATTCACCTCCCAAGCCCACTGAAGCTGGCTTGGTAAGAGCACAGCAGCAGCGGGCCCTGAAAGCAGAGAGGGCTGGAGACAGGAGAGAAGCAGCACAGGAGCTGGAAGAAGGGCAAGGGTGGAGTAGGATCAGAGGGTTGGGCAGAGGTCAGCAAGGACTCTGGCAAGGGAAGCATCCTCTGTTCCTCCCTCTTTAGGGGAGGAAAGAGCAGAACAAAAGGCAGCCGAGCCTCGCGTCCCTTGGGCAAGGGACGGACAAAACACTCAGTTTGCAAATAATCCCAAACCTGGGCTGTACAGGAACTGCACTCCCAGGCAGGTGTCTGCTTTGTCACTAAACCACCTCAAGGCTTCACTCCTGTTTTGATTCCTTCAGCCCATTAGTCTGCCAGACATTTTAAAACATGAGCACCTTACGCCTGTCAAAGGCAGGGTCACCTTGAGGTGAGATGATGAGCAGCGTGCGTGGCATATGTACCTTCCCTTCCCTCTAAGCATGGCTCAATAGCTGCCTCCAGCCCTGGCAGCTGTTTTCCACCCCATCTCCTGATGCTCAGAGTGCCACCCCTGCTGCTTGAAGGGCAGCAGATGCCACAAGCAACAACAGATGCTGTTCAGGCTCCTCTGAAAGTTTGATCGGTGTTTTGCAGAAGTTCAGAGCGGGATCCAATACGGCCGTTGCACAGTTTGTGTAAATATCAATCAGGTTCTCATAGGGAAGCACAGTCCCAGGAACACGTTAGAGCCTGTGCTATAGCAGTTGTTTCAGTGAGGTGGAGGGCAGAGTTAGACACCTTTGCATACCACCTCAGATTAGCTGGGAAGAGTTTAAGATGTCTAAAGTGGTGCTCCCCCCCATCTCTGTCACTGCAGATGGCCACCTTCATACGAAGGCAGCATTTGCTGAAGTGCAATGAGCTAACATGACAGGGTGAGTCAGACCTCTGAGCACAGGAAGTGCCACTTCAGCCTGAAATACGGTCTAAAAGCACTAGAGGAAAGAGATTTTGCTGAGTAGGAGGCCAGAGTCAGGAACTGAGTTAAGGCTGGCTGAGAAGATCAGGGCAGCCCTCCTGCACCTTGAAGAATGCTTTGAGGTCAGGACGATTCCCCTCGGTCCACCCTGCAGAACTCATTTTGCAGCAATGAGAAATGGAAGAGCGTGAAAAGTGCATGAGGCCAGAGACAGTGAGCACCATCCGTCAGTGCTGCGGGAACAAAAGCCACTCCTCACCCTGTGCAACCAGAAGTAGCAGATGCCTTCACCCTAATAAGTCTTGCTGTATCTCAGCACATCACGTGGATTTTGTGCAGGTGCTGGGAAAAAAATTGCAGTTTCTCTAGCCATTCCCCTCTAAAGCGTCACCCGTTGCCCTGCACCTCATGCCTGGTCCAGGTCTGCCTTGCTCCAGTACCTCAATATCCATATCCCCAGCCTTCTCTCCTCACTCCCATAATCTTCTCGGATCCACTTCAGCTCCCCAGTCCTGCTGCTATCAACCCTCTCACAACTCTGTGAAGGTGCCTACCCTGCAGCTAGTTTGCTTTTGAGCTGAGTTTTAAGAGCCTGGGGCTCTGTCAGGAAAAGCAGTGAACTGAGCCGCAGCAAATCAGAGATGGCATTACCTCTCCTACCACCGCTTCACCTTGGGTAATAAAACCAACAGAGTAGTAGTTTTAGCTGGAAGCACAACTCCAGCTACATCATCTATGTTCCCTAGAAAAGCTTACTTGCTCTGTGGGAGCAGTACTCACAGCCCAAGGGCTGAAGACTTCTCTGAAAAAGCCAAAATCTTAATCATCAAACTCAGTTTCCTGGGAGAAAAGAAGTTCTATTACTAACAACATCATCTCACATCCCAAGTTATGAGACTTCCACCAGACGCAGCCCCAGCATAACCTCTCAGTGTGCCTCTGAAGACAAAGCCAGTCAAGGTATTTTAATCAGCATCTGCAAGCATGCACACTAACCAGGAGATTAGGAGAGCAAAAGCACCTACCCACACTTCCCTACAGACTCAGTTTAGCATGGCAAGCCTGACAAGACATCGAAGAAAGATGTTTTTGGTGGAGATGAGGCATTTTTTTCTTTTGGCATTACTCGGACGTTACTCAGTTCAGGGCATGTGCATGCCACGTTTTTGTTTGGGCAGATATATTGCTGTTACTGGTTTACCAGGAATTACACTGATAAGATGAAGGTACATATTCACAGAGCTAGATGAGCAGGGCAAAACAGGAAAGCTAAAAATTAAAGCTTGTCAAGTCATCAACCTCTGCTAAGTCTCTGCAAAACTTGCTGGCTTTATTTGTGAAGGACCATATATGCCAAGATAATACTCTGAATATTCAATGCAGTTTTCTGGAAACTACTGATTTTTATTTATTTATTTATTTTTTTTTTTACTGTTAACTTCCAATGTAGTCTACGCTACAAGTCAGGAAAAGCATTCTCATTCATAGCCCCTGTTTGCACAGCAACACCTGTTCCCTCAACCAAATCCAAGCCCCAGCTACCACAATCATGGGAGGGCATCTCTTCTTCTTCAGAAGCGGTAGTTCCCTTCTCCCACTAAGTCTCTTCAAAAAGCCAGAAAGCTAAAGTTAGATTAAAAGAGTTCTTCTGAGCCCATATGATCATCAATCCAGCACTATCAGCTAGCCATGTTAAAAGCCATTTCAGATTTCTCAAATGAGTTCTTAGGCACGGAAGGCAGCAAATTTGTTTTCATGGCTTTGCAAAAACAGCACTTGTGGTCACCTTGCCAGAGCACAGTAGCAGCAGTATGTACCATGCTCCTGCTGGATTCAGCCACCTCATACATTCTCCCCTGGGAAAAGCAAAGGCTTTCCTCCTAACATCACTGCTTTAGATATTTTTGTCACTGATCCTGATCCATTCAGGACT